ATTTCCCCCCACCCACGTTCTCATGAAGTTTGAACGGGCTGCAACAGGGGGCGGCAAATCTTGGCGGTGTATCTTTCCATGTTCTACCAGAAAATTCACTCTCATTTTGCACATTTGGTGAGCAGTGTTGCATGACCATATGCTCTCTAAGCGCCCTCATACCCCATGGCGCTTGGATTTAATCTCGGGCTTGTATTTCAACAGGTCATGGTGCCCCAACGAGCATCATTGGAAAGTGCCCTGTCAACAAGGCAGGGGCAGGTAAACTCGTTTTTCATTTTCGCTTTTTTTTTTTTTTTCTTTTCCTTTTCTTTTGTTTTGTATTCTTTTTTAGGTGTTTTTCTACCTTTGGAGTGTAACTCGGTGAAAAGCCCCAATGCGCCCATTCGTTGTGAAAACGGGCTGTAGGCGATGGGCGAAAGCGTCTGAATCTGACACTTAGCATGCCTGATACAGGTGCGTGGGGGAAAAAAGACCCAATTGAGCTTGACCCTATTCGACTCTGTGAAATGGCTGAATATGGGGGGGGGGGGCGGTAGGGGGGGCGCTTGTTCATTTTCAGATGACGAGCTGCCCCTCACAAGAAAATGGGGGGTCAAGGAGAAAAAAAAAGAGGAGGAGAGACAAAAGGTAAAAAAAAATGAGGGAGAAGAAAGGAACAACCACGTACATGGCCGCGGTCGTGGTTAGGTGTGCGTGTGTATGTCTGAGTGTGTGTGTGACTTAGGCCTGTTCATTTAGTGAACAGGCTACAGTGCTGACTGGGTGCAACCTTCCCTAATGCATCTGGCTTAGGGAAAGGCCAAATGCCTTGGGGATTGAAAGACCTTGGTTCCCCTAGGGAAACGTTAAGGTCTATGGCCCTTGATCGCCTTGATCGTGGGTTCGGATCAAGGGCCCAGGCCAACTCCGTTTTTTTTTAACTGTGGGCCAAGTTGTTGCCCGCAATCCTCAGCTAGCTATAAAACCCAGCATCTCCCACACTTGCCTCACAGATGCTGAGGATGTGATGCTGCTCACTTGCACTTCAAGTGCAGATTGAGCTCCATCACACTGTGAGGGAGAGAGGCTGGAGGAGTGATGCGGCCATAGCCAAAGGCTGGGAGCATAATGCCCCAGCTTTATGGTGGTAAAGGCTAGTGTTGCGGTCGTGAGACCGCGCCGGTGTCTGACTGTGCGGCAAGCGGCACCCATTTTAGTAGGGTTATGCTGTCGGATTTACCGCACGGCGTCGTCATTTCGTATATTTGGGGATTTTGAAGTGTTGTCTGGGTGACTGCACGACGATGGTTATATTATGGCAGAGGTGCTGCCCAACCGATGACACAACGATGGCCTTTTTAATGGGATCGTGCCGGGAAATTTAGAGCGCAGACCAGCGACATTGCATGGAGCGCGTGTCCCGTGTGGAGGTTGTCTGAATTCGCGGTGCTTGTGGCAAAGTAGTTATTGGGGTTCGCGACACATGCGGTTTTCACCCGGGGCCACCTTTATTTTTTTTGCGACGCACAATGTGAACGTTGTTGGTGTTTGGGACCATCCGGTGTTGTGGGCGAGCGCGTCGGACCACGTTGGATCATTTTTGGACCAATTGAAACCAATTTGAGGTGGGGTTGCAAGTGGTTTACTGTTATCACATTAGGTATTTACCTCGGGCTTGTGCACGGCGTGGTGGTTGGAGGTGGTTCGACATCTGTGAGTTGGTCTAGGGCAGTCCCTGGTGGTTAGGGTGCAGTTGGGACTGCGTTGGGACTTTATGGAACATTGGGGCCACGTAAGGCTTAGTCATGAGAGCACCCTCCTTCAGAGTTATCTCATAGTGACATCTTGGTGGACTCAACCCCTGCACGATCGAAGACTTGGGGAAGGAGGCGGACCATCGTTCAGTGGAACGACCACAAGTTGTGGAGTTGTGGACCACATATTTGAGCGTCAACGGCAGTCCTCTTTTATTTGATTGAGATATTAATTGGCGTTCTTAGGTGAGCCGATTCAAACTTTACTCAATGTCAGTTGAATGACTAAAACTTCCCTTCACAACCGTGTGAACCCACACTTCGCTTGACCTTGTTTGTTTTGGACGTTCAAAATAAAAGGTAGAGTAAAGGGTGTGCAAGTCATGCGTGGGAAACGTGACGTCTGACTTGGGTATGGGGTTGCATTGGATTCCTTTGCATTTATTTGTTCTGCGTGATGCGCAGGTAGGTAGAACGATGTTTGCAAATGAGATTGATTATGCCTATTTGAAATTGAAAAAAATCTTCTTTCTTTATGTGTGCTTGTCGAAAAAGACTTGTGCTTTAAAAAAAGTTGATCCAGCGGGTGCCGTGAAAAAAAAATTGATTTAAATAAAGAAGACAAAATTAAATAGGTTCAATTTTTTTTCTGAAGTCTACTCGTTCTATTGCCTATGTACGTCCAAATGGTTCTCGTTCTCTACCTCCTCTGAGTCGTTCCGTCTGAGTTGTGGAGCGGAGGCTCATTGCTTTAGGAGTCGTCTTTCTTATCGACCCAGAGTGGACCGTTTTATGAGGAGGTTCTCTGTTGATTCGGTGAAGGTGGTCCGACTTCTGAGATCCGAGCCTTATACTTGGGTGAGGAGTTCCCCATACCACTTCCTAGAGGGTGAGACATGCAACACTTGAATAACGCATCCGATAAAGAATCATCATAAAAAAGTTTATCATCAAAGAGGATTGAAACGTATGAAGACGGGTGTGTGTGTGCCTAATCTTAGGTCGGCGGTAGGGTGAAATTAATGAGGTAGCGCGTCTCATCAAGTCAAAACTAAGGCAGTCCAACTACCTTGTCGCTTGAATCATGGTTATTGTCAAAGCCAACTTTCTATTAGCGTCTCAATATGATTTTTTTAATTTTTTTAGTTATTGGATTCGAGTTTTTATTTTGGTCTTGTGTTATTGGTTCTACGTTGTGGTGCTCGTTTTTTTTTCAATTATTATTTCACCTCATGTTGAATTCGGATGTGTTTTCCTATCGACTAATGGTCGACTCATTTTGTTATAATTATATTTAATCATGGTAATTTTGTTTTTAATATAGTTATATGTTTAAGAGACTATGATTATTTTTTGGGTTTCACGCTTCGTTGAGACCTTTTTTTTTTTTTTTTTTTTTAACTACAGTCCGTATAGGAGATAGGGGCGATGGTACAAGCAGACGTCTCTATCTCCGCCGGGGAGGCTCCACCTATTGGTGGGGAGCAACACCTGCTAGAAATCGGGTCCAGCGTCCCTACACAACAACCATATGCCAGTGGGAGATAAGGGCGCTGGTACGAGCAGGCGTCTCTATCTCCCCCGGGGAGGCTCCATCTATTGGTAGGGAGCAACACCTGCTGGAAATCGGGTCCAGGGTCCCTTACACAACAACCTTTTCAATCACACTGAGATGTTTCTGACTGTCTTCCAACCTGACAACATTGATTACCCTGAAAACAGGGAATTGACTGAGCAGGCTTAAATAGGGAGGAAAAGGGGTCTCTTCAACTCTACTGCTGGTCGTCCAAACTGTGAGACCATCTAGCCCCCGTGTCTTCACTATAACTGTCTCTCCCTCACTCTGATCCATACCACTGAAGATTCACCATTGATAGACCATGGGGCGGAAAGGGGTCGGGGAAGTCCAAGGGGGAACCTAACAGTATTGCTGGCACCTTAGTCCAGTCCTGAAAACAGATGATATAGTCTCGTCTGATATTATCCTCTCCCCATTCTAGGAGACTGCCTCCTTCCCAACAAACATAAGTCATTCTGCCCTCTTGGTCACTTCCCAGTCAATCCCTTGAGAATTGTTTGATGGTCTAAGTTATGTCTTTTTTTGTATGAATTCGACCAACTTTAGATTTCATTGTCTGCCATTGTATTGTAAGTTCCTCCTGAGTGTATTGTTCAATTAGCTCGGTCATTTTCGCACCCTCTATTCTTACTTTCTCAATAGGTAGTATACACTGTTTGCTCCGAAGTGCTTAAATAACGGCTCTCTTCCTTATCTTGAACATGTTCTCTTCGAAAGTTTTGTTCGTAGGGGAAAACCATGTTTCACACAGAAGCGCTCTCCAGTTTCACGCCCACTCATACTGTGTGCCCATCTTGAATTGGGCGCGCTGTGAATGCACCGTGAACCTGATAGTATAATAAGTATTTAAGGAGTAGTGATGAAAGTTTTCATCAGCCTGAGTGGCGTATGAGTAGAAGGGTTGAGATCCTTGATGGTGTTCGGTATCAAGGAGATGCCGGGGGGAAGGTGATAGCGCCATGATAGTAACACTCATGTCATCTTCTTCTTCTTGAAATTCCATTGTTATTTTATCTTTGCATGGTATAGAGCCTCAGACTCGACCTTGCCGTGGCTTGGGAACGAGCCTAAGGTGCCGAATCTTGTGATGATAGGAATCCTATCATGATAAGTTCGCGCTTTATTTGTCATATTTATTCGTGATCGTGATCGAGTTGTTTAAAAACTCGTTGATGATTCATTTTAACTATAAGTGATTATATTTTGGTACTTTCGCGAACCTATTCGGTTCTCATTGTCGGAATTAAAGTAGCCAAGGTGCCCGCTTATGTTGGCTCTTCTTGTCATCTTCTCGTCATCAATTATATTTTCTCATACTTCTCTTATCCCGTTCACGTATCCCTCTGCGTTGGCATCATATTTTTATGTGTCATCCTTTCTCTACTCCCGAGATCGATGTGCGAACCACGATCGGGAATTGATGAGTGATGGTTCTTGCCTTCAGCTAAGGCCGAGAATCAAACGAGGAAGGGAGACGAATCGCTCCTACTGCAGTGCTCGTGGCAGACGAAGATCCGCTGTTCATCCGAAGTATCCCACCTCGGAAGAACACGTGGGTGTCAGGTTGTGTGTAAATCTCCTGTACGGGATCGGGCGTGTGGATAGGTGCGACCTTGTGTCCGTGGTTACCTGCGCCACGCGTGTGATGCGTGTAATGTTATGGAGATTTAATTGGCGAGGTATCGAGTATTGCGAAGAGAAGGTTGAATCAAAGTGGAAGTTGGGGATTAGCCTCGGCTGGGTGCTATTTGCACTCTCCATCTTTGGCCGCATGTACGGGAGAGGAAGAGGCGGCAAGGCTGGGAATCGGCGCGGCAGGTGGTCGAACTGCGGCCGTTATTGGATGGATGCCAATTCTAGGATGGGGCAGCAGCCGTCAGCAGCCAGCACCTTCCAACATGGGGGCGGCTTGCAGAACGGACCGGCGCCTCCCGGAACGGCGCCCCAGCAGCAGTATGTGATGCCAATCGGGCAAGGACCTGTTGGACAAGTACCACATGGGATGCCGGCCACCATGGCCGCTATGGCTGCTATGCCAGCAGTGTCGGCAATGCCGACTATGCCGACCATGCCGACTATGACTATTCCTATGATGCAACCAATGCAGATGCCGGCGGCGAACAATTTTGTGCCAATGCCTGGGGGCCAATGGGGCATGCAGGCATGGCCTGACACTGTATGGCCGGGACAGTATGCTCCGCAGCCTCTGCAGCCTCCATAGGCAGTGCCTCCAGTGAATCAACCCTCGTTTCCACAACAAGGGGGGAATGCATCTAGTAGTGGGCAAGGAGGTAAAGGTCCGCCTGCGAATGCGGTCCCTAGTCCTGGGAACCGGGCCTATTTCACAAAAAAATATATGAATATTCTTGAAGGCATTAAGTCGGAGAACGTGATTGACGTCGCGAAGAAGAAGCTAGCAAGCGGGCGACGCGGTGGGATCCGGATCTCTGAGATCACAGAGGAAAACAGTCGATCGGAGGTGCGATCGAACGAGAAGGGGGAAGAGATGAAAGTTTGGGTCACTGAGACCTTGGGTGACTCGTTGAAGCTCATCATGCAGAAGCTCGAGGAAGTTGATTCCAAGGCTAAGCTTGCGGCCGCTGAACGCATGGAACTCCTGAGGCTGAGGGAGGAGAAAGCCTCGCTCGACAAAGAAAAGAGAGATGGATCGAGCAGTGAGAAAAGAAAGCGGGGGGGCAATCGCATAGCTATGGTTACTACACCAAAAGAGATTGTTGTAAAAACCCGGACCTGTGGGAGTGCGAAGGGGCGGCCCAAGAGGATCGAGATATCCTCTGATGATGACGGAGCAGCCGGAGGAGTGAAGCAGGATCTGAGCGTTAAGATGGAGAATAGTAGCCAGTTGTCGGAAGTGAAGAAGCTGCTAGAAGTCTTGGTGCATGGGCTGGCAGACCAGAAAGGGAAGCAACCCGCGCAGGCGGAAAACCCGGCAATGCAAGCTACGGCACAGGCTACAGCGGCGGCAGCCGCCGCAACAGCCAAGGCAGTTGAGGCCGAGGAAGCTGCAAACAACATGGAAGACGTCAACATCGTGCAGAACGACCATGTCGACGAAGACGATGAGGAGGCTGACGAGGGAGGCTTGGCAGCATATATGAAGATGCGCCAGATATTCTATAGCTCTCTACATTATACGAGAGTGATAGAGTTATGCAAGCAAAAGGAGATTCTCTATTTCCGCAAGGAAATGGGTGCTTGGGAGCTAGCTCGATTGGACCTGCAAGAGTACGCCGACCAATTGAAAGGCAATATGTCAGGGAAAGGAGGCGACCCATCGCGCCGTCGTAACGAACGGAACAGTGACAATGACGACGAAGGCTCAGCGGCGGGCGATGGACCGATCGCGGGAAACTAACTCTCGGGAGCCTCCGCTCTCTTCAGAGAGCAGTCAAACGCATTCTTGCATTAAAGGTCACAACTGACGCTGACACTGCTGAAGTGCTTGGGCGAATCCACATCTTAGTTATATTGGTTGCCTGTCTTAGAGGGGATATTGCCTGGGGACAAACCTATATGCGTTTCTGGTTGCGAATGCCTAAGGATTAATGGGAAGGGCTCTTGAGTGGTCAGGGTTGTGTGTACGTCTTGATGTCGCTGAATCACAAGTTAGTCTACGTTGGGAAGACTATCCGCACGTTAAAAGAGAGGTGGGCAAAACATGTGCGGGCCGTGAATGGGGTTAGCAAGCAGAATGTACACACTTGGCTTAGAAAAACTGGGATCGCTCACTATGTACCCATTCCTATCTGGTTCAGGCATGATGCTGTGATTGAATGTATGGAACGACGAATTATTAAAAGCCATAACCCTGGTTTAAATATGACTTGGATGAGGCGGAAGGGAAACACTCGTAGGAACCGCGGTGGGAAGCGGACTGCCAATCCCAAACTTGTGAATGTCCCCAATCCTCTGTTTTTTTATTGTCCCGATGTGAAGGCAACTCAGGAACCCGATCTGTTGCGGGTTGTGAAACTAGTAGTGAAAGCAAAGTTGAAAGGGTCTGTTACAATTTCTAACAATTAGGGGTGTCGTTGGCTCAAAGCTTGGAGACTCGTCATCTTGCTATTTGGTTTTTCGAAAGTGGAGTTTGCTGGGGAGAAATTGTTTCTCAAAAATGCGAGACACGTCATTGAACAAGTGGGTAGCTGGCAGCTGACGTCAATTCTTCAGACGAAAACAAAAACTGAAGTAAAAAAGCTAGAACTAATTGCCTTACTTCGAGCCCCCTGGAAACGTAAGGACTTGCTGAAGCAATCGATGGAAGAGCTGATTGACTTGAACAATGGTGTTAAGTCAATTAACCAGCCATGCGGCCGACAGATTATTCGTGGAATTCTGACGAGTGTGTTCAAAAAGAAGTTTGGGATTAACCCCCGTTCTAACATCACTGTGAAATTGCCTTTCTGCACCACTATTGATAAAGCAAAAGTGGAAGTTGCTGTGAAAACGTGGGTTAGAGAGGAAGTAAGTCCGAAAGCACTGGCTGACTTGGAGAACGAGAACCGTTTGGCTTAAAGCCAACTCGGTCGGGGATCTCCTGCACAACCAAAAGTTGTTTTCGCGTACAGATTCATTTCAATGTACGTGCGCCAACTTTGACTTGCCCCGTATAGAAGGGCATGTCGCAGTCAAGCTCAGTGAAATACCGGGTACTCATCCTTTCCTCGGGAATGCAAAAAATGTGCCTTTCTCGGGCACCCTGTCTTCGAAGGATCTGCTTAAAGCTGCTTGTAACAATGCACTGGATACACTGAGGCGGTCTGGGACTGTAACGCGTGAATTACAGATCAAGTGACTTTCTGTCTGCAAACCAGGTGCAAAAATTGATGAAGGATGTGTAAGGACCGAATACGTCAGAGGAGTGAAACAGTCGCTCGATGGTCTTATCTTACCCCCGCTGGATCGGAATACCAGCGAAACGTGGGTCGAATGCCCCGAGTTATTTGAAAAGGGGCTGAAGAAAATGTATCTGTGTAATGACAACTATGTTGTGGTTCCTCATCAGGAAAAGGAGGTTATTGGGATGATCAAAGCACGCTATACTGAGTGCAAACTCGGAAGCATCGCCAGATGGGATAATGATGGGCATCTCCAACATGCCTATATCTTATCCAAGGAAAAGGATAAAATGAAGAAAAGGCTGATTGTGCCCTCTTTTGCTAGTCCTTTTAGAGCTGCATCAGGGGTTCTTTCCACGACTTTGAATTTTCTGATTAAGCGTGTTTCAGTCCCACACTTTAACCTTCGAACAATGAGTGACCGGAAAGGTGATATTGAGAGGATCAATAAGCGCGGGGAGGATGGGTTTCATTTCTTGATCGTACATAAGATATCAAGGAAATGTTTACCCAGCTTCCTCACGCTGAGATTACTCGGGCCGTTGACTGGATTGTCGAGTTGTTTCGTGAGAAAGGGATTAAATGGGTTCGAATCAATACCAGGAAAAAAAGTTGCAACCTTTGGGAAGTCGCATGGGGAAGATGGCTGGAAATCGTTTCGCCTACAATCACTGCGAGTGTTGACAAAGTTCCAGTTGGAGAAAACTTTCTTTCTGGCATCAACGTCTGTTCTTCAGCAGAAGAGGGGGATTCCAATGAGTGGAAAGGCTAGCCCGCCTCTGGCCTGCGTGTTATGCATGTTTGCTGAAAACCAGTTGGTGAGGTCGTTAGGAGCCGACGGGAAGTTCATCTGTGGGAAGAGGTACATTGATGACCTACTAGCTGTCTCCCACTACAGGGGATGTGACCCCGATGGGCTAAAAAAGGCCAGTGAGCGGTTGGATCGGGTAGAAGGGTGTTACCCAACTGGCCTACAACTGGAGAGGACGGACCCGGACAATGGTGTCCTTGATTTTCTTGAGACTCGCCTAATCGTGTGCGGACCACCAGATAGGATTTTGATGTCCCACAAGTTTAGGAATGCAGACTCAATCTGGGAGGACGAGCCATTGAGGTTTAGGACCTACAAAGATTATGCGACGTTCGGGACAAAAATTGCTAAATTTAGCACTGTCTCCAATGCGATCCTCAGGATTTCCTGTAACTCCAACGATCGAGGGATAACCTGCCTGAATGTTATCACCTTAGCTGAAGAGCTAGGGAAATTGGGGTACCCGGGGAAGGTGGTACTTGCTGGGGTGAACTGGATGAGGCGGAGGACCAGGGAGGAGTTATGGGATGCACTAGCAGGGCTTATCAGCCAATGGGTCTCTGAGAAAAAAGGCCCGTACCTGCCCAGTTTGTAGTAGCGCTTGACAGAGGTAATCTGCAGGACTATGTTAGCAGTGGCTGCGGGCTTACGATGAGATTGGCAGGCGGGAGTTGTTTTGGGTTTGGCACTCGAGAAGTTGACGTACTGCCATACTATGTCGACTCACTATGTCGGCACATCCCTGGGCATGAACCAAGACGAAGACGAGGTAAGTTTCAAAGCACGTTTTTTTAGATTCAACGGCGAGTGCATGGATCTGATCTCAGAAGGGCCGATAACGTCCGCCAGCCTGGTATCCTGATAGCTGGAGTATGCAGATGACAGCCAGGTAGTACGAGACGGCCGAAGGAAGTGTATCCGGCGAATCCGGGATATCTCCTGCGGACGACAGCAGCTTTGGCCGCACATTCGGAAAAGCTGGCCTCGACGATCTACGTGTTTCAACGTGTTGGCAGTATCTGCCCAAAAAAAAGGGGTATTGCCACCTGAGGTGTCGGAACCTGGATGAAGGATTGAGGATGGTTTCAGCACCCGTCCTCGCCCTTTCGTCAAATTTATTTTGGTAAGGAAAGTATGCTACAGGGCCCAGTGCCAACTAACGTAGCATCTGGATCTGGACGAAGAGTGGAGGATGTTTTAAGTTTCAGACCTCGCCCTCTCGTCAAATACGTTTTGTTGCAGAAGTAATTGCAGGGCCTGGTACCAACTGACCTAGGACCTGGGCAAATTTTAATTTATTGGAATATTTACGTATGAGGCGGGCGCGCTGCGAACGCACTGTAAACCTAATAGTAGAATAAGTATTTAAGGAGTAGTGAGGGAAGTTTTCATCAGCCTGAGTGGCGTATGAGTAGAAGGGTTGAGATCCTTGATGGTGTTCGGTATCAAGGAGATGTCGGGGGGAAGGTGATAGCGCCATGATAGTAACACTCATGTCATCTTCTTCTTCTTGAAATTCCATTGTTATTTTATCTTTGCTGATCCCACCAGCGCCAGGTAAGGACCGTCCCGGGACATTTCAAAAAAATGTGCTCTATAGTCTCAGGGATCTTCTGGGCAAAAAAATGTGCTCTTGTCGGACAAGACGTAAACGATGGTATAGCTAAACCCTTTTGTTCCAAATATGTACGATCAATCAGCCAATCATTCGTGGGGAGGCAACGGTGTTCTGTCTGTCATTGCAAGGAGGTCATCTTTGTCGGTCTGACCTTTGTGGCGGTGAACCACCCGATGGGGCAAAGGCAGTCCCTTCCCACATTCAAATGGAATATCCAGCACTCCCGCACGGTGCTCTTAAGGTCATTCTGAGGCCTGAGAAGCCGATAGGTAGCTTTCACAGACAGATCAAACAATTTCTTATTTTTTCCGGATCTTATTTTGCCGGATGAATTCCAGTGTCATTCGAACGGGTCGATCCTGGGGAGTTTGGCGACCGGGTTTCCGAAAAGAAATATCCTTATTCATCTTGTTCCCCCACTACCCTAATTCTATACGACTCCACCTTCTGCCACCTTTTCTTCTCATCGTGCGGGTGCCTTACGAGACGATTATCCGATTCCTGGCGAAAGAGGATTATTGACACTTCTTCCTCCATCCTAGTCAACCGACATTCGTTTAATTCCTAGGAGATCAACGCCCTAGGGAACAGATTACGTTCGGTTTTGGATGACGGTCTAACCACACTTACCTATACTGCAACGCAATGAGCAAACATCATCGACCGACCTAGCTCTGCAATTGCATTTAAAAGCTTTTGCATGTGAGTCAGTAGCTCAATAGGCATACACCCCTAAGGGCGGTGACAACCCCTTAGGGAAGAGAAGTTGTGCCCTGTAAAAACCTATTATGCCGTATGGGACTATGAGAAGTACGGTTGGCACACCTGCTAGAGCGGCGAAGGGACGGCAAGACCACGCCCATCTCGGTGGTTCGCGGGACTATTTATGTGTTGTCCCCAAGTTGTCTCTTAGTTTTGTTTATTATTTGACTTCCGAGTAATGCGGTCGGAAGGGCTTTTGCCTTTTGCGAGGGAGCCAATGCGCTCGACAACGTCATGTGAGGAGTAATACTCAAGATCATTTCAACGACGATTCAGTAAAATTACAAAACCGAGCGGACGTCAATGATGCTATTTTTTTTTTAATGACACAGACAATGGTGGCTATGGGCTTTGCCACACCACTCCCGGAATGTGCAAAATGACGCATCA